TCATTTTTGCTTCTTTGTGCTGGGGGTAAACCCCTGGGCCTTGTGAATGCTGGTAAGAGCTCCACCACTGAGGTATACCCCAGTCCTGTGGAGGTTCCGGGAAGGTAATGAGCCACTGGAGGGGCGGAGCAGAGCGCTCAGATGCTGGGACTTCTTGGAAGGAGGCTAGACGGAACAGGGAGGCCAGCTGGGAGGCCGCAGCAGTGGTCCTGGGAAGATGAAAATGAGGAAGAGCTGGGAGCAGCAATAAAGGAGAGAGAAACAGCCAGACTCTAGACACAGTTCAAAACTAAACAGATTATACGTGCTGACCACTGAACGTCAGCTATAGCGGGATCAAAAGGGATTCATGAACAACTTCAAAGTCATTGATCTGTAATTTAAACTCAAACGTTCTCTAAGGCAAAGAACCGTGAATAGATTTACAGTTCACGTTAAGAACAGACGCAGACGAGAAATGACTAGGGAAGAGGAAGGACAGCAGAAAGGAAGGCGGGAGTAGAGGAGGAAAGGACAGAAACAGGAAGCTAGCAATTAAGGACCTGTGGTCCCCATCCTCCTGGTCTGCAGATGGGCACAAAGCCAGTAAGAGAGTGGGCCCTGGAGATCCACCTGTATCCTGTGAGATCACACACACACTAAGTCACCTCATCCCATCAACTGGCAAAGAATATTCCTGTACAAAAACTCCACGGCAGCTGTTGGGATACAGTGCTTAATAGACCTAACTGCTTAATGAATGCAAGCCCCAGGTATCCCCTTTAACCTAGAGGTGGTCTGGAGACTCACTGACACCCAAGGCACATGAGCAGACAGCGAAGGGTCTCTTCTCAGCTGCTGACTTCCTGTGCACTGACTACCTCCCAGCCACTCTCTTCAGAGCTTCATACATGCTCCTTCTTTTAAACTAGTCGACCCAACTGTCCATGTCACAGATGAGGTCTGCAGAGATCAAGTGCGGCCAAGGTCACTACCTGAAGACACAATTGCTCCTAACCAGCCTCAGGCAGAATGCCACACCTATAGAACAAGGTGAGCACTCTGGTGATACCTTTACTCCTGCCTCCAAACACACTCAGGAACAGCCCAGGATCTGGAGGAGGACAGTTTCCCCCCTTCTCAATCATGATTCAGCCTACATGATTCAAAACCTACACGTGTGTTTACCAATTAAGGAAAAAAAAAAAAGTTCCTTCCAAATCAGTCGAAAACAATGCTTCCATCCCAAGCACCACACCTCCAAACCTGAAGGAAAATTATAATGTTCAAGTGCAAAAAGGTTAGCCCACAAGGGAACCCACACTCCAACCAGGTACACACATTTACATCCCTGCTGCCTTTCTTCCCCTGTCAAAATGGAAAGATTTGGAACATCAGATCTGGAACCCCAAAAACAGATTCAGAAAAAGGAAACGGGCAATGTAAGATGTTACCAGCAAAAAGAGATCATCTGGATGGAGAGAACTATTATTTTCGATATTATATAACTCCAAGTTGACAGCATGTGCTATCTTAGGCACGGTGCCTAACAGCGAACAAAGAAAAGTCACAAATCAGTGGAAGGATGTTGACTTTGTCCATGAATGAGACACCTGGAGAAAGAACAGGTCTTTCCTAGCAGGTCCTGGGTCAGAAACCTAAGTCTTTATTCTGAAACAGAAGTGACCATATGGTTGGGGTGGGGTGGGGGAATCTAAGCTAGAACTTAAATTTAGATCAAATGGATTCCCTGGATTTGTTTCAGTTCATTGAGCATTCTCATGATTAATAAATTATACAATAGATATTCAAACTGCTCTGACTGGGTGATTCATCGCCCAGCCCCACTGCAGAATAGTTTCAGAAGCATTCTTCAGTATTTACAAGCTCTAATTAGCCTTAGTGCGAAGTGGATCCTCTCCTGAAGTAGTCTCTCCTCACCAGAGCCCATTAGGCAAAAGTTAACAATCTTTTAATGATGGATTAAAATGTATTAAAACTTTCAGGCAGCTTCAAAATAGTATTTAAATAATTCAGCAAGGTTTAAAGTAACAATCTACTCTATTTACCCCTAATGTCTGGGAATCTCTCATTCTTCTCATGCCCATGCATCTGCCTAACAATGTTAGTACCATATGTTCCTAAATTTACCTGAACCAGTTACTTTTCAGATACTTCTCAAAAAGGTAAGCACAATTTTTTTTCACTAAAGCAAAATCTTCCAAGTCTATGGAAAAAACGGATAATAAGCATAAACTGCTTTTATTTTAAAATAAATACAGCCCCCATAAGAGTTCAAGGGCTGGCTAAGTATTCAAGGAGATGTGAAGTAAGAACATTGCAAATAAGACATAAATAGATATTTTAAAGCAAAAATGCTTCAAACTAACATAATATGTACATAATATTAAAAAGGCTGTAAACTGGCCCCTAAGTAGAATTCTTCAGGCATTTCCTACTACCCTTGTCTGCACTGCTTAGGCCAGGTCCTCCTAAACAAGCCGGCTGAAAGCCAGAGGACGACAATGGGATGAAGTGAAACCAGGACAAATGCTTCAGCCTCAGACATGCAAGAATGGAATCTCAAGCATGAACCATGAAGTCAGACGCTCTACACGTTAAAAAAAAAAAAAAAAACTCTACTGCCAGGTGCAAGGGTGCACTCCTATAATCCCAGAAACCTAGGAGGCTGAGGCAGGAGAATTGCAAGTTCAAAGCCTGCCTCAGCAACCTAGCACAGCACTAGGCAAATTGGTGAGACTGTCTCAAAAAAAAAAAAAAAAAATTTTTTTAAAGGGCTGGGGACATGGCTCAATGGTTAAGTGCCCCTGGGTTTAATCCCTGGTACTAAAAATTAATTAATTAATTAATTAAAACTCTACTTTCAAAGAGATCTGTTTTACTTTTCAAATGAACTTTCTCTGAACATTTACTGAAGCCAGTTTCTTTTCTGAGATTCCAAAGAATGAAAGTTGCCCTTCTGAGACAGCGGTTCCATCAGTACACTTCCTCGTTCTGCTACTCACACACAGAAAACGTTCCACCAATACACCACATGCCAAGAAGCTGAAGCTGCTTGTCATGCATACCTGTGCAAAACTGACCATCAAACTTTTCTCAAACACTGACTACAGGATAACAGATTCTAGCCCTTAGACCTGGCAAAACCTAACAGAGTAGGAGCTCTCGGGCATTTATACAATGCCTGTGGAAATTCTTCCCAAACTAAGAGGAGGAAATACAATCCCACCTGCAATGAACACTTATCCAGCATTCATACTGTGTGCAGCACTCCATGAGAAAAATTTCCATGATCTGGAAGACACTGAAACTGAACGTGAACTGAGCTCACCTTCCCTGAGGAATCAAGAAGCACCTAGGAGTGGCAAGGCCTCCAGACAAGCTCTGACACGTCTATCCACTCCAACAGAATGTGCAGAGTCCAGCAAGACTTTCAGTTAACATTCTGAGAAGTTACCGCAAAACTATGCAAGACTCCAACTTTAAATCAGACAGTCACCTCTATAAGAAAACCCATTATGTAAAGAGGAAGCAATAACGTAAACTTTATACAATTTCTCAGGCATCCAACAAGAGGAGTTTACAAGGATCATGCTTATTCATAGAAGGAATAAAGGGGGAAAGAGGAACAAATAGAGAGAGCAGAGTTCTGGAGACCTACAGAACACTGGGCTTTGCAACATAGGAGAGCTTCTGCTTCTTTTCAAAGAATAGAAAGAACTTGGAAAAAGTTAACTGCACAATGTCATTAAGATATAGAAAATACATGCTGTCAACAGTCAAAAATCCAAATACTTGTAGTCTGAAAGCCTGCTCAGCAAGTCATCAAAATGTCAGCCAACATCTCAACACTTCCCACAAGCCCCGTTGTTTTTTAAAGTTTTTATTTCTAAAGTTATACTTTAAAATTAGAGGAAAACTTTTCCTGTAACAGAAAAGCATTTCCTTTGTGTGTGCATTTAATGTAAGGAAAAGAACCACAGGTGCAGAGATAGCAATTCAGCTGTCCTGAGCTGGGCCTGGCACGTGGAACAACTCCTCTGACCACCAGGCCTAGGATTCTCCTCTGAAAAAGTGCCCAGCACTTGCTCAGAGGGCTGCAGGAAGCTTCAATGACAGGGAACACCAGCTGTGTCAAAACGGGGTTGCACTGGTCACATGCAACTCTGGCTACCTAACACTTACCACCGAGAACAACCTGTGCTCTCACACCCTGTGCGCCTGCAACTCGGAACTGAGCGGCTTGCCACTAGCAAGCTGACCCAGCCCACTGGAAAGCCCCGCCCCCCACCCCGTGTGTCTGCAACTTGGGGCAGGTCGGGCCGCAAGGGACTGGTTGGGGGCCGATGGGGCACACAGCGCTAGTCGGAGAGGAATCTACAGGGGCCGACAGGGGGCTATACGGGGCCGCAAGGGATGCAGGGTTGCAGTGGGCAGCAAGGGGTGACTAGGGGCTGACCAGCCGGGCGCTGGGGGCTGCACCGGGTGTCCTGGGGCTGGCCGGCGGGGCTGTTGCGAGCTCATGGGGAGACCCGGCTGGCCGGCTGGACTGCTGGGGGCTGCACCGAGTGACACTCGGCTGGCCGGCTGGACTGCTGGGGGCTGCACCGAGTGACACCCGGCTGGCCGGCCGGGCCGCTGGGCACAGCACGGGGTGACCAGGGGCTGGCCGGCCGGGTCGCTGGGGGCTGTACCAGGTGACACCCGCTGGCCGGCCGGCGTGCAGGGGGCTGCACCCAGCTAGACTACTCTAGGCTGGATCCCGCGGCCCCGCTCCCCGCCAGGGTCCTGACAGCGCCCGCCCGGGGCAGTCGCTGTCCCACGGCCCGGCGAGAGGCGTCCCCGCGGGTCGCAGGTCGCCGGGAGCGGGAGGCCGCGCCGCCTCCGGCCACACCTCCAGGAAGCGGCAGCCGGGCGGGTGCGGCCGACAGGGCCCGAGTGGCCGGGATGGCCGGGGTGGCCGGCGCCCGGCCGCGCCCCCCGCCCGCGCCCGCACTCACAGGTGACGATGGGCTTGTTCTCCATGGTGTAGATCACCGGCGGCAGCGGCTCCTCAGGGGCGTCCATGGGCGTCCGGCTCACCGGCCCGGCCGCCCGCGCCCCATGGGCCCCCGAGGCCGCGCCGGGCCCGCCGCGCCAGAGCCCGAGCCGCGCCGCCGGCCCCGAGGCCGCTCCCGAGCCGGCCGTCCGCCGCGCCGCCCGCCGCCGCCGGCCGCGTCCACTTCCGGCCTCGGCGCCGCCGCATGACCACTTCCGGGGCGCGCGGCTTAAAGGGGCGGGCCTTCCCTCCGCCTGCCCTCCGACGGAAAGGGCCCCGGGGCGCCGCGGCCGTGCACCTGCGCGCGCCTCCTGCGCGCGCCCACGCCGCAGGCTCCGGCGGGCCTCCGCTCGCGGGTTTCCCTGGGCCGCGAGGTCCTGTCACTGCCAGGAGGCGGGACCCGAGGGACGGCCTTCCCGCCACCGAGATCACGGGCCCCGAGGCGCTTCCCCTGGCGCGAGCCGGCCCTCGGGCGTCCCCGCGCTTCGCTCCCGCCGCCGTCCGCTCCCTAACCGCTCCGCGGGTCGCGGCGGTCCCTGTGTGTCCCCACCCTCTCCCTCACCTGCCACGCCGGGCCGGGCGTGGCACGTGTTGGGAAGCCGCGAAATAAAGCCTTGCTTTCGCGGCACGGAGGGCGAGTCTGCGGGGACCTTGCAAGGGAATGACTGGGGGCGAGTCTTGCGGACGCCTCTGCCGAGGAGGGTGCCGGGTGCATCCTGGGGGCGAGGCTGCGGGGCCGGGAAGCGGGCGGGGACCCCGGCAGCCTGCTGAAGGAGAAGGCCCCGGGCGTCCCAGAGGCGCTGGCTGGGGCTGAGCTAAGCGCTGTAGTCCGAGACCCCACGGTGCTTCTGGAGGAGTGGCTGTTAGAGATTGGAAATGCCACCAAGACTGCAGTGGAGCAGCGCTGCAGGGAGGACCTGTCCGTGCCATTAACACATCTGGGACATTTAACTGAGACAGAGATTAGGGACCTTGTCCCCAGGTGCCAGCAAACTTGTTCTGAAAAGTCACAGAGTTGTACATGCCACAGTACAGATTTTGTCAGACTCTTTTTTTCTAAAACAACTATTTAAGAATATAAACACCATTCTTAGCTCAAGAGCTATACAAAGATAAAGGTACTGTGTCCATCTTTTTTAAAAAAAAAATGCATTCACAGGCCAGATGTGGCCTCTGAGCCATATGTTGCTGACCCTACCCTAAAATAAGGCCCACTCTACACCTGCCTGAAGAAACCCTACAGCAAACCCTGAGAGATCCTCCTGAAAGAAGGAGCTTGGACATCAATTTCTGCCATTTAGGGAGGCCGGAAACACCCCAGGCATTCAGCAGACCCCATGACAGCACAGAACTAAGGCTAGACCAGCCCACAGGGAGAATGACTGGACTGCAAACTGGAACAGACTCCCCAGAGGAAGATAATCTAGAGTCTCTGACATTTGTTATTTTCCAATGTCCAGTACACCCTAGAGAATCACTAGACACGCAAAGAAGCAGGAAAATATAAGCCACAGCCAAGACAAAGGGCAGCGAACAGAAACCAACCACCAGGGCCCAGGTGAGATGGACCAAGATTCACAATGCTCTCTAATAAGTACATTCAAAAGGCTAAATGAAGACACAGGAACTCACAGCAGAGAAATAGAAACTATTTCTTAAAGTGACCATAGAACTGAAAGGACACTAACTGAAATGAAAATCTAACTGTATTGATGGTCAGCAGATAGGACGTAGCAGAGGGTGGAGTTGGCAATCTTGAGGACAGATGAGTGGCATCACAGAATCTGAAGAAGAAAAAAAAGACTAGAGAAAAATGAATAGAGCCTCGGAGACCTAGGGGACAGTATTAAGTGGCCTCACTCACATTACAGGAGTTCCAGAGGGAAATAAAGTAAGAACAGGGCAGAACATTTTTTTTGAAAAATAATGGCCAAAAATTAAAAAAAAAAAACTGAAAAACATGTACTTACAGATCAAGAAACTTAGCAAAACCTGAGCAGGATACATACAAAGAAAATCACATGCAAGCACATCACTGTCAGAAAAAAAGAGATACAGAGAATAAAATTTTAAGAGAAAATCTTAAAAGCATTCAGCAAAAGCCAGGGTTGTGGCTCAGTGGTAGAGCACTTGCCTAGCATGCATGAGGCACTGGGTTCAATCCCCAGAACTCATAAAAATAAACAAATAAAACAAAGGTATTGTGTCCATCTTTAAAAAAAAATTCAGCAAATTAAGACATGACCATGACCTTCCAGGGAAGGACAGTGGGGGTGACACTGACTTCTCGTCTGATACAATCATGGCCAGAAAACAATGGTAAAAATATTTAAAACGCCAAGGTTTAAAGCCTGTCAACCCCAAACTCTGTAACTTGCAAAATTATTTTTTTAAAATGAGGGCAGAAAAAGATTTTATTCCAATGAACTAAAATTGAGACAATTCATAGCCAAAGGGCAGGGCATTCACAAACCATTGCAGGGTGCTCTTCCATGAAAGGAAATGTGGGAATTGGTGTCAGGAGGGAGAGAAGAGCTCTGGACTTAACACCAAGTGGTAAACATTAAAGAGTATGCCTTTTCCTCTTGAATGTGTGTAGAGGTAAAGATAAGACCACGATAGCGTGAACAATGGATGGAGAAAGGATAGCAGATTTTTAGCTTGCTACATGCATGCAGTGTGAAATTTCAGGTACAGAGTGGGAAACAGGAAGGGCTGTGTACAAAGAGGGAAGAATAGAATGTGATGTGGTGAGGACGTATTTTCTGCCCTAGAGCAAAACCACTAGAAAGTAAATAAATAAAAGAGGTTTGGCTAAGAAGCCAATGGAGGAAAGAAAATGAAGTAATGGAAAATATTTGATCAATCCAAAGCAGTCAAGAAAAGAATAACTCAAGAATAAAAAAAGAAAGGAGGCTGGGGTTCAGATCAGCGACAGAGTACCTGCTTAAGCATGCACCAGGACCTCGGTCCCACCGCAAGAAGGATGGACAGAAAGGACAGATGCAAATGACCAGGCACAACATGAGAAGATCTCCACATCTATTAGACGTGAGGGTGCAGATCAAAGTGCAGAGAGGGTGGGCTCAGGGGTGGAGTGTGTGTCTGGCATGTGTAAGGCCCTGAGATCCCCAGCACCCCCCCACACACCCTAATAATAATAATAATAATAATAATAATAATGCCCAACAATAAGATGCTACCTCACATCCACTCAAATAGCTAAAATGAAATTTTTGAAAACCCAGAGAATACCAAGTGTAGACTCCTAGCCAAGGAATCTGTGTGTCTTTTACATCTTCAGTCTGCTCTCAAAGAGAGCTGAGTTCAGATATTCTGGAAAAGCAGGCCCTAGCAGCTTCCCATATGGATGTGCCCAGGTCTGGCCATGGGACAGCGGGGCGTGGGAGGGCGGGAAGGCAAAGCCCGGTGGTCTCTCATTCTCTTCCAGGCAGCTCTCTGGCTTGGTTGTTGGACAGGAAACCACTGCTGGGCTGTTTTCCCTCTGAGGAGACCTACTAGAGTTTTGTTATTTGTTTTTTGTTGTTGTTATTTTTTAACAGGGAGCTCAGGACGTGCTCAGACTGAGCGTAAACGCTGATGTAGCAGTTCCTTTTAATAATGGTGAATACGGGGCTACTCCCTTCATCCGTGTCCAGTCCCTTTTCTCATAAGATAGCATTTTGGTTTGGTTGGTTGGTTTATTTGTTTGTTTGAAAAGTTGCTGGAACTTGAGCTCAAATGGTCTTTCCTGGTACTTTGCCTCCAGGTTGCAAAGAGCTTGCTAAATGGTGCGTGGGGATACTGTGTGAGCTACATTGAAAGGGCGGTCCACAGGCTTTGCCTAGGCCCTCTCCGCAGAGGTTGAGCCAAAAGTAATGGCAAGTCAGTGAATATTCATAGCACTCTATTCATAGTAACCCAGAACAGGCACAACCCTGACGCCCTGCAGTGGGTGAGCAGCTAAATGAACTGGCACATCCACACCTTGGAGCACTACTCAGAAAGGAAAAGGAAGGAAGTCCCAGCACAGGTGATAGCCTTAGGGGGCCTCCTGAGAATAGGGCTCAGTGGACAGAATCTGATGCCAAAGCTTATCGACTGTTGCTTCCGTTAATAGAACCCTCCTGAAGTAACAGAATCATAGCACTGGAGAAGAGGTCCGTGGTTTTCAGGGGCTAAGGGGGCTGTGGCGTGCAGAGAGCAGTGGGGTGGGTATACAAGGGCAGCTGCCTGGTGGGGAAGGGCCATCTGTCTTGACTGTACGGACATCAATACCTGGTGTAACACTGAGCTGTTCTGCAAGGTGTTACCGCTGGGAGGAATTGGGGAGGGCACACCAGATTCCTCTCAACTGCACGTGAATCTACATTATCTCAAAATTAAGCTTTGTTTAAAAGCCAGCGGACTGGAGTGGTATGTGGATTTCCTGAGTTTTCCAAAGGGAGCCACAAGTTGTTGTTACTCTGGAACCTGACTTAGCTCCCCATCCTGGTTGTCATTCCTGCAGGCTCCAGGTGCTTAGGAAGGTCTCCAAGGCAGCGCTGGGCTGGCTCCACGAAGCCCCCAACCCCGCCCTCTGGCTCAGATGTTTCCTGATGGGCAGTCTCTGCACATGTTCAGCCCGTCCTCCCGTCCAGAAGCGAAGAGTCCACAGTGGAGACAGCAGCAGTGCAATTATATGGGGGAGCAGTCCCCTCAGGAGTAACCCAGGAGATGCCATGGGGACATTATTCCACTAAATGAATAAAAACTTAGGGAGGGCGGGGAGAACTGGCAGAGCATGGGGCAGCACCCAGTCAGCCATGGGGCCAGGGAGGCTGAGGGAAGGCCTGCCACAATCTGGCTGGGCACCAATAACCGGGAGGTCACCAGCCACTTGTAGATTCAAGCAGGAACGAACTTTATTCCAGAACCCATGCGAACTCCACGGGAACTCAACGGGAACTCCGCGAGAACTCAAAAGTAGCAGGCACCTGAGGTAGCAGGACCCGCCTTATTGCTGGACAGCAGAGGTTTATATACACAACTGAATACACAGCTTGTTTCAATTTAGCATCATCCAGTTACAGTAATCAGTCATTATCTTAATAATTATACACA